TATCACAAACATCATAACTGGATGTCTCCAAATTGCTATATCACCCATTTTCTCTATTTTAGTCGTTACAAAATTCATCGAATTCCATAAAGGAGATGGAGCTCACAATGGACTGAGACTTCCAACACAACACTGCTCCTGCTGGTGTTGCAGCTGAACACAGCGGCAGTGCTGAGAGCAGTAGCTCAGTACTGCCATCAGCAGGAAATTATTAGTACTAAGAGTATTTGTGAAATGCAAACAATTCTGTTCTACAAAATGTGATTGACATTAATGTGTTTTAAGGCTGCAGTGCAATATTAGAGGTAAACTTCCATTAGTCATATCAGTCGGGACAATAACATTTAATACGACTTACAAGAAATGCAGGTTAATCACAAGTCAAATTTTATACGATTTGCATAAAACATTTATAAAATCTGTAATAATAATAATCCTTGCATTTGATATAGCGCCTTGTCACGTCAAATCAAAACACTTCACAGGATTTACTGTCAAATGGAGTGACTGTGTATTTGTAGGTGAACGCGGCAGCCCAATTGCGCACAACAATGTCCCACAACAAATTGGTGCATATTTGACTTAGACTTTGAGTCCCATAGCGTACTAAATTAGCACACTCACTTCGCAAGTGAGAGGACCTGGGTTCAATACCGGGGGTGTGGGGGGGAATGGGGGGATCCTATGGCAAGTTTCCTTACTCCACGCGCATAGCAGTAAGTAGGAACCCGGTTGTTAGTTGATTGGGGGCGAATCGCTTTCTGGGGGTAATAACCTAAACAAAATTATAGCTTAAAGGTAAAATGACTCACAATGGTATTTTTCATTGCAAAAGTCTCCTGTAGCATGCAGCTCCCTTGATCTCCATCCTTCTCAGCCCAGCCCCAGCAAGAGAGAGATGGGGGTGGGGGGGTGTGAGGGTGGATATCAGCACCTCCTTAAGAAGTCAGGGGCTCCACCTCTCTTCCCCTTGTGCCCACTACGGTATTAAATGTACCATTTGCCAAACATAAAGAGATTGAAAAATGTTTATTGACTGCCATGACTCTGTGTACACCAGTGGCTGTTTCCAGTCATTGACCCGTCACTGATCAGGGAGTAAAAATAGTTGATCTACAAGGTGACAGTGACCATAACTTACCAACACTGAATTTGACTTGGGATATGGTAAAAGCACATAATAAATACGTGTATCCATCTTTAGATGGACAAATGTCTGGAGTACGAGAGCTGAGGTAATAATAACCCTATATTAATCCTTGCATTTGATATAGCGCCTTATCACGTCTTCAAGACATCTGAAAGCACTTCACAGGATATACTGTAAAGTGACTTGACTGTATATTTTGTGGGCAAATTGCAGCAGCCAATTGTGTACAGCAGTGTCCCACAAACAGTCGTGGATGGAAGTGACTAATTTTATTATTATGATTTTTTTAAAGGAATTATTAACCTAGGAAAAGCAATCCGCCAATCAACTAACCAGTTGGTTCCTACTTATTGCTAGGTAAACAGAGGCGTGTGTGTGGAGTAAGGAAAACTTGCCCAACATTTCGTACTACCGGTAAGTGATATTAACTAGGAAGCATGACTCAAGAACAAATCAGCTGAGGATCAATAAACATCCTTCAAAAACATTTTGCAGAGCTTGCAGGATATGCAGCAGGAACAAATATATAAAAGAAAACCTTACATTTGGTACAGTGCCTCTCACGAGAAGGGCTTTGAGAAGGATGTGGGGATTGGTTTCCACAACCTTCTGACTTAGAGGTGAGAGTGGTACCAACTGAGCCAGGCTGGTACACTCTGTACTGAGTGGACCCGTGGTGTTGAGTCAAGCCTGAATGTGCGATTTCTTCCTTGGGAGGGCGATACAATTAAATTGTTACCCAGTCAAGAACAATCAGTATCTATCATCAAAATAATTTGCAGTGCTAATGTCCACAGGATTTAAAATCCAATTTATTTCCTAATTGCTGCTTTGCCGTTTGTACAGGGAGTGGTCAGATACTTGCGTCAAACAATGCCGTTCTATAATCACAGGTATAGTACAAGATGAACTATGGAATGTTTCAGTCTTTTGTTGATGCAATGTGCGATGGGAGACATCACTTTATTTCCTTACTAAACAACAAGCTTCTAGCTCAGCCCCTCACTTTCGACATGATTTACGGCACGACCATCCATTTCCTCCACTGCACAGAGAACAGCACTAAAGGCGACTGAGCAACCTGCCTCCATTCCTCTGCAACACTTTTTTTCTAAACTAGTTTCCATATGACAATCTCTCTCTCTCTCTCTCTCTGCTACCAAAATGTTTCTCTTGACCTATCTCCATGAATATTCTTTCAGTCAACTCCAATTTCCTCCACTTTTTGCTCAGTTTTGCACTATTCTACAAAGAATAAATAATTTGGTCACTCAATCCACGGCTGTTGCTGGGACACTGTTGTGCACAATTGGCTGGACACATTTTGCCCACAAAATGTACAGTCAATTAACGTTACATTATGTTCTGTGAAACAATTTGAGACGTCTAAAAGATGTGATAAGACGCTATATCAAATGCAAGTATTATTTGTATTATTCCATTGGAAATTGCGTTTTTTATAGCACCTTATATAAATGTGCATTTTGCAGATAAGCACAGAGCCACCTGAGCACAGCAAGATCTGACCAGCACAACCTGCGATTGTTACACCAGTATTTCCATGCATCAGATCTGTTAAGCAGAATTGGTTTTATTAAGATATAAATCAAATTACTTTGATGTTTATAAAAAGTAACCAAATTACCTTCCGTCCAGGGTCAGAAAACTGCCCTGCAGCATAAAGCAGAACCACAAACAGCCAAATGTGTCCCAGTTCTGTGATGTTGGGGAGTCATTTTGTTTATATTCAAGCCCAAGGCTGTGCTCAAATGTGCACCTTTTTTATAAGATTTTGTCCTTTGGCACAGGCTTGACAGATTTCAAAATGCCAACCTGACCTGTTCCTAAATAATCTGTGGCCACAATTGCTTGTATTTAATCTTTCTTAGGCTGCTGAAACACAAGGTTCACACGTAGATGCTACTGTAAAAATTTGTAAGGATGGGATTTCTACGCCTCTGAAAGGCACAGTGACATGAAGGAACATTCAGATCTGGAGAATTTATTAATTGGGTAAGAATGAAGGTATTTTGGCTGGAAAAAATGCTCATCGGGAGAACAGTAATGAAAATGGTGCTCGACAACAAAAAAAATGCCTTGTGACATAAAGTGTATCTTCTCCTGAAGCCCCATGTTATACCACACCAACTCCAGAGAATTCGTCTCCTACCCAAAATCCCCAAAGCCAGGGCTGCTACTGTAAATATTAAAGATTTTTTTTCCCACACCTTCCATAAAACTCTATAAAAATCTACACTCATCAGTTATTCCCCCAAGTCATCCAAAAATAAACGGTACGTGTAATGCAACAAGAATTTGCATTTATATAAATGTCCTGGCCAACAATCCCCCAATAACAAAAACAGAGAGAGCTGGGAAAACTCAGTGAGTCAGGCAGCATCTATGGAGAAAGGAAAGTTAGTCCAACGTTTTGGGTCCACGACTCTTTGTCAGTTTCCCAGCTCTCTCTGTTTTTGTTTCAGATTCCAGCATCTGCAGTATTTTGTGTTTTAATCCCCCAATAAAATTAGTTATTCACTTCATGGCTGGTTGTGGGGCACTGCTATGCACAACGTGGCTGTTGAGTTGGCCCACAGAACACATAGTCACTTTACTTCAGGGTAAATTCTGTGAAGTCCTCCTGACGTGAAAAGCGCTGTACCAAATGTAAGTATTATTAGAATACATAGCGCCCTGAATGCAGGATAGCTTCTCCGACCACTGAGTATGTTGAGTGATAAACACACAAAGAAAGCAAAAGACAAGCACAACCAAGAAAGCGACCAATTTACTCGTTGCATATTTGCTTAGCAGCATGTCCTGAGCTCTGCTCACCATCTGAGTTCAGCGACATCTTCGATGTCAGTGAAGAGCTGCTGGGACTGCCAACTCTTTAATAACATGAAAATGATAACCTTTAGAGGTTAAGTTTGAGAAGGTGAGTTGACAATAATTGTACTGCAGTTAGGCTGTCCAACCAGTCCAATGTGCAAGCAGTGGTATAATATCTGGTTAAACCAGTTTACTTCAAAATGTACAGCTTTGGCCACACTTTTTGGTTTTCTTTCCCCTTCACACCCCTTTGCGTATCCTTCCGGCATTGTTAAGCATTTGGAGTCATCCTCCCACTATCTTTGACCTAGAAACTGCAAAGTAACTGGCCTAATTGTTGGTCAAAGTAGAGAGTGTTACTCATGTCTGATCCCAGCTGGAACCGTGGAAGAGGGAATTATATTATTATACGTAAGAGAAAGTCTTGATGCTGGGTTTTTACCATATTCAAATATCTCAAAGTGCTTCACAAGTAGTTACCATCAAATGTAATTGACTCTTTATAAAGCAGCACACAACCTTTTGCACCATAAAGGTTGAACAAACAGCTGAGATGAATAATTTATTTGCAGGGTAGTTGGTCAGGATATCAGGAGAAAGTCCCTTCCCTTTTTAAATGGTGTCCTGGTATTTTTAATGCACACTTGAACAGGCAGATAAGAAAGGTCCTTGGTTTAATATCTCATCCGAAGGACGGCACCTCTGACAAAGCAACACTTTCCCCAGCACTGAATTGGGAGTATCAGCCTAGTTGAAGAGCTCAGATATCAATATAGGGCTTGAACACCACATCATTCTGATCCAGAGGGCAGGGTTCTGCCAACTGAATCAACGTCAGAGCGAATATTAATAATAATAATAATCCTTGCATTTGATATAGCCTCTTATCTCATTTCAAAGTGATTCACAGAATATAGTTAATTGACTGCATATTTTGTGGGTGGGGAATATTATCATCCCTCGATTTGATAATCATTCTCTGTACAAACTTTAAAAAAGAGAGAAAAAGAGGACTAACATGTGAGGCGTTTTTGTTGACATCATTGCAATTCTTTACTTCCTCCTCACCATTCTCCATTGTGTAGAGCGGATTTTATTCTGCAAATGGTTGGAAAAGAACGATAGCATTATTAATACCCAAGTGAAGGTAAACATTAAACTAGCAAAATAGATGTGTGATGCATTTTGTTGTACTTACTTACATACAATCCCCAAACACAAACTTCCCGAGAAACACATTGCAAGCAAATCAATAAAACTGCAGTAGCATATCAGGTGTATCAACACTGCAACAGTTAACCCCAGTAGACACAGAGGAAATGCCATGCTTGTTGACCATATCATTCATACAAGGTACCCAGAGGACTGTGAAAGAGATAGTAGAGAGACTTAGTTATGGAAGTTCAAGGAAAGAGATAAAGAGGTCCTTGGCAAAAAAGCCGACATTGATAACTTGGCACCTCGTAGGAAGCAGATCATGAGGTTCTCAGGGTTGTAGAAAACAAGTTTAGGATAGTTTGGGGATATAAGGAAGAGGTTTCGCCAGTAATCATTGGGAGACGTTGGAGCTGATGGAAGATGAGGGGGAGCAGAACAGTCAGAGAATGTAGGAGAACGTAGGAGCAAAGAGGGAGCTGAGGAAGCTCAGTCATAGAATGTAGGAGCAAAACAGTTAAGAGGGAAGTCAAAAGGGAGCAGAATAGTCCTGATGCTATCCTTACAGGGCAAAACCTTGAGCAAGTTTCCCTACTATACACACCTGATAATAATCCTTCAAAACAAAATAATAAAATTGGTCACTTCCATCTACGACTGTTTTTGGACACTGCTGTGCGCAGTTGGCTGCTGCATTTTCCCCACAAAGTATACAGTCAATCCACTTGACAGTCCATTCTGTGAAGCGCTTTGAGACGTCTAGAAGACGTGAAAAAGCGCTATATCAAATGCAAGGATTATTATTATTATCATTACAGGTCTGTATACCTTGTAATAAACCTTGATTTCAACACTCTACGTTTCGAGTACACCTGTTGTTTAGCATCGAACATGTAAGCCCTTCGGACCGAAGGGGACGAGGTTGATGTAGCACAGAGCACAGTCTGACTGCCATTAAGCACAATAGTGTGGAGACAGTTCTAAATCCCACATCTGAAGCATATGGCATTAAATTATTTTCCACATTTCAAAATAACGTTATGCCACATGTGCGTTTACTCCACATCCATAATTGAGACTTCATAGACGGTGGGATAACAACTTTACATGGAATCTTAAGACATTCCATGTCATAAGACATTGATTTTCAATACTCTAAAAATACACTGTTCAATAGACAACGTGTTTCCGTTTTATTTATGGTTCAAAAATGCTACCAAGTGACGAGAAGAGACAATCTGTTATTTTCAGTGACTCTTCCATTGGTTTTAAGCGTGACAGTGAGAAAGAAGTTTTAGGAGTGATTGATTTTGGACCAGTAAGAGTCAGATTGCTAAAGGTTAAAAAGTAGACCCTGTCCTTTCATCAGTTGTACAGGGTCGGGTTGTTATACAGGGAGATCCAGGACTGTCCACTAGGGCATTCTGCTCCTGACTCTTGATGTGTTTGAGCGACTGCAGCAAATCAAATGGCTGTTTTCTCAGCTGTTCTCTACGCACTTTAAAACAAAAATTACGAGATTACAAGATCAGTTCAGATCAAGAATCTACTCTGGCCTATTTGGTCTCATTCTCCCATAATAAACATGCGACCAGCTACCAATACAGCATATTAGAGGACGGTCTAACACCCGTAAAGCCCAATCCCAACAGAACCCAGCACTTCAGCAAAAGGACAAACGCAACACACAAAAATACCGTTCGTAAAATAATTCAGTAAAATTAATTTACATGGTGGGGCACATGAAGCATCGATTGAGTAAAGAAAGATCCAGGCTTGCAAAGTCACACTGATACCGTCACAAGTGCTGAATCTGCGAAGAGACAGACCTGCTACGCTAATGCTGAAGACATTACATCAAACAGAAAGGAATGAATAATAAATATTCATAATCCTTACATTTGATACAATGCCTTGCATATCAAGTGGACATCCCAAAGCGCTTCACGGGAATTACTGTAAAGTATAGTATCTGTGTGCTTTGTAGGCGAATATGGTAACTAACTTACATAGAGCAATGTCATACAGAACAGCCATGAAGTGAGTAATTTTATTTGGGGGATTGTCAACCAGGACACTGGGAAAAACTCTTCTCCTTTCGAATAGTGCTGTGGGATTATTAATGTCCACCGGAACAGGCAGGCAGGCGAGATCTCAGTTCAACATTTCGTCTGAAGGACTACACCTCCAACGATCCACTGTATTAAAGTGACAGTCTTCTGACTCAGAGGTGAGACTGATGCCAACTGAGCCAGGGTAACTCCAAATGATTAGAACTAGTACAGTTTGGGATCTGAATTTTCCATAGTTACAATGCAGGACCATATGTGTCCAGCATTAACTATGAGGACTTTCGGTTTACAGACCCGTGGCCTTGTCTAAACCTTCAAATCTCACAGAGGAGCCAGACAGAGGTAAATCAGCCTCCAGCAAGATCGCTGTGGATTTGCCAGCTTTTACCAGGTGTGTGATCGCAAAGCCAATCCAGGGAGACCCGCTTACCTGACCCCTCATTCTCAGCCCTCCTCCCAAGAAGATACATTATGGATCTGGATGAAAACTGCATCTCCGCCTCCCCCATCAAAAGTCAATACTACCACAGCTTACAAGTATTATACGGTTTATTTGATTTAAACTTCGCCTGGAGAAAATCAACTTTTTGCAAATCAAATATAAAGTCATAACGTGAGGAAATCATGAGCCATCCCAATCTGTTCACAATGCAAAACCTCAGTTACTCATTTTTTGCTTTTCAGGCATTTGCTGACTAAATAAATTGTTATTTATTGGTAAAGGATGATAGGGAGTAAAACAAAATGTTAAAGTCTATAATAAACATCACTGACCTTCAACAAGAACCTTTGCAAGTGTTCCAGAATCCTAGAGGGCAGACACAGTGGCAATGTTGAAGGTGAGAGGATGGGACATGTGCAAAATTACTAGTCTTGTCAGCTATTACCTTAACCAACTAGAATGAAAATATTGATTACCAACACTTTTTTGAAAGATAGAGCAGCTGCTCAGAAAACCTTTGACCCTCTCTTCTTTATTGCAAAAGCTGGTGAATAATTTACGACCGGATTCCATAAAGTACATATTCACTTGAAAGCAGGATCTTTGTGTGAGCACTGTACTGTACTGTAAAGTTCAGAACTCATTCTACTGAACGTGCATTCTGCACAAATTCTTTAGTGAAGAACTGGAAATATAAATTGAGATGCCTCTTCATCATTTCTCTTTTTAAAATTTGCAAAGTCCAAAGCCGCAATGAACAAAACTTGTCCATTCAGATGGACCTAAAAGATTCCATAGCATTATTTGAAACGAGAAGAGAAATTCTCCTGGTGCTCTGGCCAACAATTCCTCAGATAAAATTAATGATCCATGGCTGTTGTGGAGATTGTGGGCACTAATTAACTATTACAGAAAGCATAGTTGTTATACGTTACAGTAAATCCTGTGAAGCCTTTAAGATATCCTCGACTCCAAAAATGTTTTGACAGACTCTGGAACTTCATTCCGGTGTCAAGTTTGCAGAACTTGGTCTTCAGAGTGGCACTGAAGCAAAATTCCCGAGAATAAGCCACGACACATCTGGGATTTTCTGTTTGTTAATCTTTTTATGAAAACCCCAGCTCTGACCCAGTGCATCTCGTACAGTGGCAGAACCACTAAAATTGAGAAGGTGGATATAGATGAAGATTATTGATAAATAATCGTTCCATTTAATATAGCGGCTATAACAGTGAGAATGTCCCAATGCGCCTCACAAAGTTTTTGTAAAGTGTGGGGATTATTTTATAGGCAAATGCCGCAGTACATTTTGCATACACCAATGTCTCACAAACAGTAGTGAAGTACTTGACCTTGTCCAGTTTGCGAGCGCTGCATTAATGATAATAATAATCCTTGCATTTGATATAGTGCTTTTCACGTCTTCTAGACGTTTCAAAGCGCTTCACAGGACATACAGTAAAGTGAATTGACTGTAAATATGTGGGCGAAATGCGGCAGCCAATTGACACAGTAGATTCCCACAAACAGTCGTGGATTGAAATAATCAATTTATTATTGTTCTTTTTGAAGGATTGTTATTAGGCGTGTGGAGTAAAGAAACTTGTCCAAGGTTTCACCCGGCCTGGAATTGAACCCAGGTCTCTCACTTGTAAGGCGAGTGCTCTAACCACTAAGCTACAGGACTCCATTGTCAGGTCTCACTTGAAGGACAATGCAGGGCTCCCAAAGTGGATGGAGTATCAGCCTAGGCCAAGACTGTGAAACAATGGGAATAAAGGGAGCGGAAAGAAGATTGAAAAGGGCATAACATGTTATAGAATGGAGACACAGTCAGGAAATAACAGAGTAAAGAACTCAGCGCTGTTACCAGAACCTCGGTTGAGCTATTATTGCGTTTAGTGTGCCAAACACGAAAAAACAGGTTCCCCCTGCAGAGGCAGCAAATGGAACATCACAAACCCACACTATCCCAACACAATACAAAGTCTGATGCAATTGTTCAGGAGCTCTTTGAAAAGCATGTTTATACTAGCATATATAAAGCATCTAGGTTCTCGCCCAGAAAAAAAACTGAGATGCAAAAAGTGCACAACAATGAAGTGTCATCGAATAGAAAAAGGCTTCAGGTGAGACCCTTCTTCGGAACTAAAATGAGTGGACGAGAAGTGTTTCTCTGTAGGACAGGAAGTTATGCAACAACAATTTACGATCATTTACTGCTGTGTCTTTCACATGAAAGAAATAATAATAATAATAATCCTTGCATTTGATATAGCGCTTTTCACGTCTTCTCGACATCTCAAAGCATTTCACAGAATAGACTGTAAAGTGAATTGACCGTATATTTGTGGACGAAACGTGGCAGCCAATTGCGTACAGCAGTGTCCTACAAACAGTCGTGGATTGACCAATTTATTATTGTTTTT